AGCCCTTGTATGTGATGGCTGGGTACTCCCCATGTATGTTATGTATCATTTCAATAAATAGCCAAGGAGGAGGTTGCTCCAGGCTCTCCTGCACCTCTGGTGAGCCTCACCTCTTGCAAGCTTGTACTTGCAATCCGCATGCTGGCTGTTTCCTGCACGTAGCTCTGGCAATACAGTGGCTCCCACTAGACAAACTTCTTCCCCCAGCTCATTTTGCTCCCCATTTAGGAGGTTCTTGTGGGCTTACCGTGGAGTGCAGGATGGCGCTTGTTTTATCTTCAATATTCATGAACGCTAAGTCAAATAAAAGCACCGACAAACCCAACAGAACTGGACCATAAGCAGCTTGAGGGAAGGCTCTGGGTCCCTCATCTTTGTCTCCCTGGCTCGCTACACAGTTCCTGGGACCCATCAGGAGCCCAATATCGACTGGCTGGTTTATGAAATGAATTGAATTCAACTGAGTAATTGGATGCCCAGAGGTACCCTGGGCAATAATGGCATCGTGTCCTCTGTTGTTCTTGTTCTTGGCCACAGATGAAGCAACAGAAGGAGATATTTTATTATTGAGCTCTTATGCGGTGTCCTTGTGGGGGAGTAGCAGAAATAACCCTGGAACAGGAGTCAGGAATCCTGAGTTCTGGTCCTGAACTAGTTGTGGTTCTGCTAGTTATTAACTTTTATGCCCCATCATAATTACCCCTTCGTCCTACGGCCCAATCCTTCACTTACGAAATATACAGGTTACGCTGAAGATTTTCCAAGGTCTCTTCTGAATGCATCATTTTGTGATTCTGAGCCTAGAGTTTTATTATGACCCCAAACCTAAATTAAAAGGAAAGCTTCTGCCCTGAAGACCCCTGACTCCTAGGATGTCCCTTCTGGGCACCTGCCTTTTGTATCCCTGGCACTTTGATTTTGCCTCATTCATCCTGCTCTGCCTGACTTTTCTGCCTACTTCTGATTGTTCTACCCACCATCTCTCTCTCCTCTTTATGCATCTCGTGTCAAGTTTTATGGGATTCAAAGTCCACAGATAGCCTCACCTTTACCATTCCTTCATATCCTCCTTCTCGATTCTCTCTGTTTGTGACCTCTTTTTCTCTCCTTGAATCCCTCTTCCTCTTTTCAAGTTGCCCTTTTGCTCTTCCTGCTGAAATCCTAACATGCTGGACTATAGCCCAGATGAACAGTGATTTTATTTTGATCCTGTATTCATAGAGGAGCAAAAAATAGCATATATTTTCCCAGGTCCCAGCCCTTTCCTACTCCCCTCGAGGCATCTCTTTATCTAGATTTATGCTGCCTTTCTGATTAAATCTCCCAACATCTATTTGATGTCACGCCACTCTCTAACTGTCCTGCGTTTCTCATCTTCTTGCCTGCACTTCCATTTGAGATCTCCACCAGGAGAGGGGGGCCTTTAGCCTTTTTTGAAAAGGAGAAGCAGAACCGACATTTGTTAAGCTAGCACTCCTCCTTCCTTTGGTCGCTTTGTGCGTGTGGAACAGTGATGGCTCTGGAGCTAGCCTCTGCTTGCTATAGGTAATGTAGAGTAAAAGAAAAACAACAGCTGATTTTCCTTTCCTTGGGAATCCTTCCCTCTTCCATCCCTGACCCAGTGTACAGATGCCAGGGCTGCCCGAAGTCTCCATGTGCTGTTTCCCACCTGCCTTCCAACCTTTCCCGAGTCTGCACGGCAGACCCCTCCCTTGCAGTCCCAGGGTTATTAGAGAGAATAGGATTGTTTCCTTTCGCTCAGAGTGTGTGTGTGTGTCTGTGAGCTTGAAAGGCATTGTCCTATAGATATTTTTATAACCTGAAGCAATTACAGCTGTCAGCGCAGAGACAAGCTGTGACAAGTTGATTTATGTGTACAGTATATGTGTATTCGAGAAGGAAGGGGGGGAAGGAGAGGGAGATGGGGGGAGAGGGTGGAGGTGGGCGCTCCTTAGGAATCTGCTTTCAAGAAGGCAGAAAGGAAGTTGTTTCTATAAAGAACACAAATAATGAAATTGCTCTGACTGTCATCCCTTTTTCATTAACTCGGATATGCTAGGAAAAATAAAATAAATCCAGCAGTTTTTATGAAGCAAGAGACAGGATATAAGATAAGCCACTAAGTGTTGGTTATATTTAGGGATTAAGGGATGGGAAGGGAGTTGACATATGATTTTGATCTTCATCTTTGCAAACCACTTGACAGTAGGTTTGAATGAAAAGGAGCCTGTCCTGTTAATTACCCACGAATCTCTGACCTTTCACCATTTTCTCAACTTCTATTTTTAAATAAAGTTTGGATCCCTGGGGCCACAGAGTGGGTACGAATTTGGAAGTGGCTTTTCTTTCTCCACCCTGAGAGTTCTCTAACCTTTGCCAGGTTTCCTGGGATGTGACACCTAAGCCCTGTCCCCCACAGCCAGAGACAAAGATGGTTGGAATGTCAGTTCAACCGCACGCAGACCAGTATAAACTGAACATCTTCAAAAGGCTGTAAGAAGAATTATTTTTCTGCCCAGCCCATAATAATGAAGCAATGGCAGGAAAAATGTATTAATAAAGCACCTTCGATCATAAATGGATTTCTAAGTATTTTGCTGTAGAGTTAATCATGTATGTAGGCCCCTCGGGAGGGCCTGTTGTTGTCATTATCACCATTCCTAGATGCAGAAACTAATGCTCATTTGTACCGACCTGGAAATTAGATGCAAGAGCCAGAATTAGAATTTATCATAGAAGGAATCATCCCCGCCATTCTCAGGCCTGTAGGAAAATGACTCTGAAGCCCAGAGCGAGTTCTTCTCCCTCCCCTGTGACTAGCATTTATTTCATTTCATGTGGGGTGTGTGCACTGGGGGGAGGGGGGTACGGGTGGAAATGAATGAATGGATTATTAGAGGTGACTCTTTGGCTTCTGGGAAAAGAACCTCAAATTCAGCAGAATGAAAGTTAAAAAACATCATCTCACGTCTTATGTCTGCTATCCTACTTTACTCAGTGAAATCATTCAGTTTCCTGCTTCTGCAATTTCCCATTGGAAAACGGAGATAAAATAGAATCTTGCAAAATTGGGCTGGTATAAAAATAGGTTAATTCTTCCCCTTTGCTTTCAGAAAGTAAAACAAACTTTTCTGCTCCCCATAGGTGTAATTGTTTATTCCCGGTAGTAAAGTCATCTGTTGCAGCCCTAAGTTGACAACTGATATTTTCGGTTCTATATGTCAAATGATCCCCAGGGGCTAAAAGTGGCAGATGAGTTTCCCTGTGAATTTAATGTGAGGAAAAGTCACTAGGGGAGATGATGGAACAACTGGTCTAATGATTGGTTAATGCAAAGTATTTTGAGATTATCAGTGTGAAGTTGCTCCCCTTTCCATGGTCAAGGACTCTCCAGTCCACTATCAAAATGGAAAGCCAAGCCTGTTACCTTAGACTTTGACTTCCACATCTCCAAAGCCTACTTTCAGCCTCCTCTCTAAAACGGCGTGAGCAGGACATGTTGGGTGAAATGTTTGTGACGTCTCTAACCCGTCATCCACAGGGAAGTGGCAGCAGGTGCCACCCAGTTACAGAGATTCAGTTATGACCGTCCAATCTATTTGGTGGTAGAGGGCTTTGTGGAAAAACGTCTTTCTATTATTTAAGTTTTTTTAAAAAAATACCTCCACAGTTGGATTTGAAAGTCTAGGAGGGAAAAGGGCACTGTTACCTCCCCTCTATCCCTGCGGAGAGTTTGGAAGAGTGCTGGGAGCCCAGCTCTGGGAATCCTGGAGAAGAGTGCATTTTTGTGTCACCATGACCGCATCTGTTGGGCTGTCCTGTGCTCCCGGCTTGCACAGGGACTAGGCCCAGGAAGGGAATTATACTACATTCCATCAGAGGCCGTCAGAACGCAAGTTAAGGGAGATAGAATAGGGTAGGTGCAGAGGGGCCAGCAGCAGCCTGAGAGAAGTGCCAGGAACTGAGGCAAAGCCAGTCTTTCCCCGGGTTTCAAGAATTTGAAAAACACACTTCTTAAAGATGAAATCAGCTGAACCAAACTGTTGTAGCCTGGGTGCCTACCACCTAAATAAAGCACACGGCTCACACTCACCCATCCGAGTGAGCACTTTCGCGGGTCTGGCATCTTTTAATGCCAACAAAACAAGATTAAAGAATGAAAGTCAATGTCTGAACTTGACCAACGTTTGGAAGCGACTGTCCTGGGTTCACACACTTAAGAGGCTTCTGTGGTTTTGCGTTTGTTTGTATGTGGAAGATCTCTACAGCGGTGGTGTTGACTGTCTGGGTTTTAAGTAGATTTTCTGGGGGGCTGGTGAGGTGGGTGTTGTACTGTTGAATAAAAATGAGATTGTTCTAGAACAGCCTTCCACCACTCTACATTGACTCCAGATGCTAATGGGATTAGTCTGATCATTTGGAAGGTGCGCCTATGCACGCTGCAAGGTCTTCCTTTCCCAGACAATTAGTTTGTGACCCTTATTAAGATGTCTCCAGTCTGGCGCGTATTAGGACTGCATGGTAACTTTGTCTTCTTAATTGGCAAGTGGCTCAGTCTTTAAGGGGGGAAACGGTTAAGCTCCCAGCCTGGGCTGGGCTGGTGCACTGCCCCGGCCCGGCGCGGTGGGGGTTAAGGTGGGCGCCCGAGCCCCGCGCCGCCCGCCGGGATGAGCGCGCAGTCCGCGCCGCCCGCCCGCCCGCTCGCTCCAAGGCGGCTCCAGGAGAAAGTGGCGGTCAGGGATGGAGCCGCTGCCATGACAACCCCGGCGGTCGGGGCCCGCGCGCGTCGGGGCTGCTCCCGGGAGGAAGGCGGCGCGGAGGCCGGGGGCGGCCGCTGAGCTTGGCGTCCGCGCGGCTCCGGTGCCGGCTGCGCCTCGCCTTCCCCAGCGAGCAGGCGAGCGAGGGAGCTAGCGAGGGGCCGCCACGATCTGCTCCCGCCCCGCCGCTCCTGCCTTGGCCGCCGCTGCAGCCCCTGCCCCGCCGAGGCCGGTCGGATCGCCGCGGCTGCAGCGCGCTTGGGGGCTCCGGGGAAGTTGACCGAGGCGGCTGCGGCAGGATCCCCGGGGCCGGATCGCGCGAAGCCTGCGTGGCCGTCTCCTCCTCCTGCAACCTTGCCGCCTCCTGCGTGCTCCACTTTCCGTCTGCTATTGTTACAGACTGTTTTCCGGTGGCCAGCATTCTCCCGAAACTTACGAAGAAAGTGTTGGATTTCCCCTGGTTGGAACTGAAAAATTGCAGACCACCTCTGGGTAGCTGGACGGAACCCACCCCTGTCCCTTTCCGGTACCAAAGTGCTTACTCCTCTCCAAAGTGCCATGTCTGAACTGTTACTGGGAAGAAGCGGCTACTGAAACGCGCCCACACCGTTGCACCTGCAGGCGCGTCCCCTTTTCTCGGCCACCTTCTGCGGCCGAAGCGGCGAGGACAGTGCCGCCTTTGGATGTCCTCCGTGGGAACCGGTTCTCCGAGGCTGGCAAGCTGAGGCTGGATTTGGGGGAGGAATATCAGACTTGGAGGAGTCTGCGCGCTTTTCTCCTCCCCGCGCCTCGCGGTCGCCGCTAGTTCACCGCTCGGTCCCCGTGCTCGCTCCCTCACCCCACCCACTTCCTGTGCTCGCCCGGGGGGCGTGTGCCACGCTGCTGCCGGAGTTCTGGGAAGTTGTGGCTGTCGAGGATGGGGGTCTGTGGGTACCTGTTCCTGCCCTGGAAGTGCCTCGTGATCGTGTCTCTCAGGCTGCTGTTCCTTGTACCCACAGGAGTGCCCGTGCGCAGCGGAGATGCCACCTTCCCCAAAGCTATGGACAACGTGACGGTCCGGCAGGGGGAGAGCGCCACCCTCAGGTAGGGAGCTGCCATTCTTCTACGATTTGAGGATGATTTGTATGGGGTGCGGGTAAGGGGCAGGGGTGCAGTCGCGTGCACTGGAGCGTGCGGGGGCTGGCGGAGAGGTCGCTGCTGCCCCCGGGCTGCACAATTTATGGGTGAGCTGGGTGCGCTGCCCTGGTATGTGGTATTCATAGGGAAACGCTCAGAGGTTCTGGAGGTGAGCTGTTTCCCCAAAACGGGCCTTCGTGGCTCAGGCACTTGCTAAGGGGAAGGAGTGGCTGGGCCAGGGAGTTGCTGAGATTGAGGGCTTTAGCCCTGGCACTGTTTGTGCCTGGGCCTGGTGGCCGTAGTGACTGGGGACCTGGCTGGGGCTCCATGCGAGCAGTGTTCTCTGAAGTTAATGAGTCCAGAAGGAGTGGTCTGGCTGGGCTGAATGCCCTCTCTGGCCTGCGTCGTGGGGAGCTGCCAGCCCTAGGTCCTGGGCAACGTGAGAGCTGCTGTTTTGTCCGAGGCCTGACTGCGCCCAGGCTTTCCTGGGGAGCCTTTGTGGCATGAGCTATTGGGCACAGAAAGATGCTTTCTCCTATCTGAATGTGGCGTTTTGAGGCCGAAGTCATGGAGTCTCATTTGTCCCTGGAAGATGTCATTCACTCTGGAGAGCTGTGCTCTGTGCTGTCCCCTGAAGCAGAAGGTGCAGAACTCCTCTCCTGAACAGAAACCATTATAGACGTCAGTGTTGGGGTGGGTCCTGACAGGCTCTGGGGTTAAGGCTTGCAGAAACTGGGGGAGGAGGAGAAGAATCAGGGCTCTGCTTTGTGTGAGGTGGGATGGTTCTCTCTCCCTGATCACCTTGGCTGCAGGAAGGCACTAACTCCTTTCCCAGTGTTGATGGAGCACACCACTCACAGGAGGTCACCACATGGAACGTGCGCCCTGGGAAATTCTGCGCTCTGGGATTTTATGAGAGAGTAAGCCTGAGGTGGAAGGGAAGAAGGTTCATGGGAAAGACTTCTCTGCCTCTCTTTGATCTAGTATGTTCCCTTAAGTAAAGTTTTGCAAACTGGGCAACTGTTCTAACCATGAGCCAATGTGGCAGTCTTCTTGTCTGGCGCTTGAAGATTCTTGGAAAGATAACCTTGGTGCTAGTGTCCACTGTTTCACCACTGATGACTGTTCTTTGAAGATGGGATTGTTTGTGGTCTGTGTATTTAAAGTGACATTTGTAAGATGGAAAATGTGGAGAAGGGGGCGCTGGCCATACAGGGGTGGATTATCAGGACATTGCCAAAGGAAGAGTGTAAGTTAAGGATTTTATAAGACTGCAGGCATCTTGTGATCTTTGTCTGTGCACAGTGAACCCTCATGGCTCCAGTGAACTCCTAGCTGCTCACAGGTTAACGAACCCCTCTTTCTCCACTTAGCTTTTTAGGGACCATTTTGGACAAAGGTGAAACATCTGGCTGCCCAGAGTCCAGAATAATTGTGTATCTGTTTTGTGAATGGACTTCATGGGACTTGAAAATAGGCAGTGATTTCAGACTACTTTACAGAAAATGTACCTATAAGTCAATGTAGTCACTGAAATGTAATGTTCTCTGCATGTCCCCTTTGTCCCTAACTCTTGCCCGCAAAGAAGAGTCCCCAGGGAGAAAACAGACGCATTCTCATATGGGGAACATTTTAGGTACAAATAAGATGATTTTTTTTTTTTAAGAGGAGGTGGAAGGTAGTTAGCTCTGTAGTGATTTGAAGATAAAAACATAGCAGGTGGGCCCTGGTAGTCAGAGACACTCACAGTGGCCGGGATCTGGGCTCCAGAGGTTGTGCCCAAGGCTTATGAGAGTTGGTACTGTCTGAAGGGTGGCTGCTTGTGTCAGGACAGGCCTAGGCGTAGCTTGTCTTTAAAATCCCATAATCACGTGTCGGTTGGCTCCTCTTTCTTTGTCTTTCCTTCCATGCTGCTGCTGTTGCTTCTTTTTTTCTCTGGGGGTCCCTGCTTGTCTCTTTTCAGCAATAATGTTTGTTTGCATTTTTACACATGCTTTTAGCACCATGGACTTGTTTGAGGGGAATATGGTGGGCCACAGACCCTTGAATTGGGCCTAACCGGGCCAAGTTCCTCCTGGAACACGGTTGCCAGGATGTTCCAGCTTTGGGGGCTGAGTGGTTTCCTGAGATGCAGGAGGGTGACCCTCACGGTGAATGGAGCTCTACAGGGAGGGGTTAGAGGAGGTCGGATCCGATGGATGCCATCCACTGGCCATAGGCTGGTTTAGAATAGGAGTCGGGCTCTAGGTGTACAGAGGACACGCCTTCCTTTCAGAATTGCCCCCATTCTTCTCAGCCTCTGAAGCACTACAACAAGGAAGGGCTACCTTGTCAGGGATGAACTTGTGTAGAGTGGAAAGCCCTTGAACTCTCCAACATAGACTCTGAGTTTTCTAAGTAAATGTGCAAAGAGGCAAGTAGGAACTTCAGAACGTATTTTGTGCTCATAAAACTTGATAGATTTTCATGTAGCCTGATTCTAGGTTACAACAATCTAATGGCTCAGGGTTCTGGGCTATTTTAATCTTGCTCTTTATTGTATATGTGAGAGGCAGGGTTCTGTTCTTTCCTTCAATCTTTCTGTCTTTCTTTCTTCCTTTTTTCCTTGTTTCCTCTCCCCCCTCCTCCCTTTTATTCCTGTTTGGCCTGAATCATACGACCAAGCTACAAGGAACCACACCAAGGGAAGGCCTGTGGACCTCTGCCCGGCCCTGGGAAGGCCACCCTGTCCAGCTTGCTGTAGGCGATGATGCTTGTAGTTTTCTTCACAACCAGCAGAGGACTTTTTGCTCTGATTTCATTTTATTATGCTTTGTTCTCACCAGTGTCATTTTTTGAGGATCTTTTCCAGTCCCTGACGTATAAATGTCTCAACCAGCAGAGTCTAATGTGAGGAAACTTTTAAAGGATGTTTTATTTTATCCAATTAGTTCTAGTAGTACTTCTGGAGGTATTGGGCAACCTTTCACCTAACATGGTATTAACAGCCTGAAAAGAATTACAATGTGCAATCTCCAATTCCTTCTGCTTTCCTGCTGATATTTTGTGTCCATATTTTTAAAGAGTGAGGTTACATAAAACAGAATTTGCAACTATTAGCCAAGGTTTACTGAGCATTCACGCTGTATCAGGGAGTATCCAGGTGCCTAATATTATCTAACCATCACTCAGCCTCATAACATTAACTCATAACCCTAATAATGGCCCTATGATGTAGGCGATATTATTGTCCCCATTTTACAGATGAGGAAATGGAGGCACGGAATTTATATCCTTTAATTCAGATAGCACAATGAGGAAGTTTTGAAGCTAAATTATGAGTCCTTAGTAATGTTAACTAGGTGAATAATACTATTAATCAGTGGTCAATTGCTGCATTAAATGTTCTATATACACAGTTACATTGAATCCTTAACTTTTCTGAAATAAACTTAATTACCCTTCAATTTATAGATGAGGAAACTTAAGGCCCAGAGAGAGAAACTCACACAAGTAGCAAGTGGGATAACCTGCAGTGCTGATTCGGTACTTTGCTCCTTGACTTTGAACCTCAAAGGACTACTCAGACTCTTTGGACTCTTCCCCTAATTCCTCAGTGGCACTGACTGTTTGCCCTGATCATGGAGACTTAGACCCTGTTTTGCAATGTTGTTTAACTCTCTTTATCCCCATGGGCAATGGAGCAACTTGTGAAAAGCCAGACTCATGTCTCCACGTGCTATGGGCACTGTTTCCTCGAAGATGTTTACTGAACAGATGCAATGAATGGGAGCAGGACAGAAATCTCCCCCAGCTTATATTCAGTGTATCTCCTTACCACATTTCTCTATCTTTTTTTAAATTTTATTTTGAAGTTCAACTATGGCCAAGCAAGAAAGGTTTAATGAGTGGTTCTTTTAGGAAAGGCACTAAACTGGATGTTGGGGTGTGGAGAGGGTGTGGCACTCAGGGAACTTGGGCCCAACTCAGAAAACCAGCCGTGGGCAAGGAGGACATGGACAGGGTGAGCCAGAGTGTGCCATCAACACAGGGGTGACAGTGACTGTGCAGGCAGAACAAGCTTTCCTGTCTTTCTTGGTGGAGGCATTTGGTGGCCAGGGGGGACTGTGTCCAACTCAGCTTGTGGAAGGCAGAGGTAGCTGTGGGAGCCTGACAACTTGAGAGGCTCAGGCATGTGGGTGTCATTCACTTAGCATCAACATGCCGCTCAGCACTTTCTATGACTGTGCTTCATGTCTCAGAGATTCCCTGAATAAGGCAGCAGCTAGGAGAATGAATTATTTCCCAGGGATCATCTGCTAAGTGAGTATCGGAGGCTGAACTATACCTTCTGTCATGTGTCTAGACAGTAGACTTTGCAACAGAATGATGCTGTTTTTCAAGGATACGTTAAGAATAAAAGGTCTGAGACATGTACAAGGTTTAGGTTGAGTTTTGATGAGTTTTGATATGTACCTTCCTCAAACAGCACAGAATAATGTGGTTTTAATATTTGAGAAGACCCAGGGAGTCCTCCTATCTTAAGGCAGCTGGGACCCTCTGTTCATGTCATGTAAAGCATTTAGCATTTCATTTTACGAGCAGATGGATTCTCTGTTAGTCCCTCCACAGCAGAACCAGGCCCTCTTTGCGTTTGCATGCTAATACCACGTACTTGCCTTGGCCCATGGAGAGCTGCTGCTTAGCATTGCGGCTCATACTCCCGTGGTGCCCCTCACTGGGTCCCCTCCTGACGCCCAGATCAAGGTAATCTCCTTCCACTACCACCAGTCTTTTTTTTTTTTTTTTTTTGTGACACAGTCTCACTCTTTCACCCTGGGTAGAGTGCTATAGAGTCATACCTCAAAACAACCTCAAACTCTTGGGCTTGAGCAGTCCTCTTTTGCCTCAGCCTCCCAAGTGGCTGGGACTGCAGCTCTACTACATCTGGCTGGTTTTTCAGTTTTAGGAGAGACAGGGTCTCACAC